AACATGTTTTGCTGAATTTTAAGATGTAGAAACTATAAAGTGGTTTGTACAATCAATTTATTCAATACATAAAATATAAATCTTATGTGGTCAACAATTTGGAAAAGTCAAAAATCTTTTTATCGTTTGACTGAGCCATTTACAAACTTTCAAGCAGAAAATACAATAATACAGTGCATACGCTTCCTTATTTCTTGGGGTTCTTTTGGCCCAGTCCTTATCCCTGAGTCGTCTTTGAAGCCTTAGATCCTGGCAAAAATCTATCGATTCTGGTTCATCCTCCCTTATATCAGGGCTGCTCTTCTTCGCTGAAATCATTTCCTATTTTCCTCCATCAATTGAAAAGCCCTAAGACCCATCACCAACATCGTTTTCACCTGTCACGCCACCACTGAACCACTATCGCTGCTCTCTCCTCTCCGTGTCTCTCTAAAATAAAGCCCTAAATCCCCTATCTCCCTCTTTCTCGGCCGGTCCAGATAAACGAGATGTGTCTGCCTCCTTCTGTATTGGCGTCTACCTTGTCAAGCACGTTCGAACGAGATGTCCTCGCTCATTTCACACCCATCCTAATTTTTCAATCCACCTTTCGCAATATGTTATTAAAGCTGAGTATTTGATACTGGAGAAGGTAGGCGAACTTAAAGTCTACGAGCCACGGTACGCATATTTTGAAATTTTGTAATATTAGCATTAATGTTCGATTCTGAGTTTTTAATTTACAAAACAGATCCTCTATTTTGTTTTGCTACTGTCAACAATTGTACGGAGAGATGTTGAACAGGTTAATATCAAATGGGAAGAATGAAAAACATGAATTAATATTGGGTATCATTCATATTCCTTTTCTGTTCAGGAGGTGTATGAAGATGACAAGCTAAGGAAAAACAAGAAACAAGTTAATGATTGATGATTGAGTTACGTGATCTAGAAGGTAATGGTGGGAATTGTGTCATGGTGGAAGCCTAGGGAAGAAACATGAATGTATTGGGGCTATAAAGTCAGATATGCTCCCAACATCAGTTCAGTACTTAAACAATGCCCGTATAAGGTAGGTATATATATTTTGAAAAATCCCCATCTCACTCTATACCCTCTATTTAATTATATGTTTGTGTGTTTTTTGTTTACAGGTACTGAAATGGCTGTTTAACAGTGTGTATAAATAGACTCTTAAAGGTTTTTGTTCAATTGATTTTTGTTTCTAAGGGTTACCATGTCAGGTAAATTGAGGGTTTTCTTTTTAATTCTGAAGGCTTTTGCTTTCGAGTCAAATGCAGCCCATGTTTTGATTCCAAAAGCTTTTGTTTGTTTTACATTCTAAGCTAAAGTTGAGGTTTTTGTTTGTTTATTCAAATGAGCTTTGTTTTTCTTTCAGTCTCAAAGTGACGTTAAGTATTAATGTTTTACAACCAAGTTCAAACTAATGTTTTAGTGATTGATAGCAAAGTTCAAAGTAATTTAAATAACTTTTGGATCTTTGGATTTAAAAGTAATTCAATTCTATTTTGTGAGGTTGGTATATGTTTTGGTAGGATTTTTCTATCTTTTCTTGGTTGGGTTTAAAGCGGGAGGCATGGGTCCTATAAAGTAAAAATGACATGGGAGTGAAAAGAATATGGATTGATTACCTTTGTAGCTTAAAAGTGTATGCATATTAATTAGTACATTGCCAATGACCAAAGTTGTCAAAAGTGAAAGAGGTGATTCAGTTTTATAAGTGTAATCACGTTTTGTATTTTAATGTTTAAGTTAATATTTTTCATGTGTTTCTTCTATTATTTGTTTTTAATTTTAATAAATAGTTGTGAGGTCTATTATATTCAAGTTTCCTTTTAAATAACTATATACTTTTTGCTAATACTATCAAAAGGAATACACTTATTTTATACTTTAAACAAAGATTTGATTCAAACGTATATATTTTGGTTTACGTTTTGGCACTCGAGTTGTAATCACTTTTTCTTTTACCTTTTTTTTATATTATTTTGATTTCTTTGAATAATATTTATAACAATTAGTTGATCATCTATAGAATTATATGATATTGACAATTTACATGAATAAAGTCAGATTGAAAATTCTCTATTGTGTTTTCATCAATTCTTTTGTCTAAAAAATAATTGGCATGGTCTCTTCATCGGGTCACAGTTCGACCGACCGCTTCGACTTGGGTTTTAAAGCACATATAATTATAAATCATTCAATTTATTATACTAAAAATATTTTAAATTTAACATAAAAGAAAATTACAAATATGCCTCCCCATATATTTCCGATTTTCGTTCAAGGTCAAAATAGTTGGATTTAAAAAAAAATGGATAGTTATTTTGGTTTAAGAGGAAAAGTCCTTTTTAAGACCAAACTTGCAAAAATAGCCAAACTTATTGATGAAAAATGTAATTTACTCGATATAAAGTTGTCCTTATGAAAGTCCGTACAAATTAAATAAAATCATTTTTTTTGGTTTAACTATTGCAAAAAGTATTTTTATGGTTAACCATTAAAAATTTGTTATTTTTTTAAATAACCACAACGTAAAACTTTTAATTATATTAAAACCGAAACAACAACATTTATTTATATTAAAAAAAACAACAAACACAACATACATTATATAAATTTTTTATGTTGAATGATATTTTTCATAGTGTGGTTTTTTGGAAGGACTTGTTTCATAAATGAACTAAGGCGTAAGGAACTATTTGATGTTTGCAAGAAAAAAAACTATTTGATGTTTGCAAGAAAAAAAAAACAACAAACATAACATACATTTATGAAATAGAAACTATTTGATGTTTGCAAGAAAAAAAACTAATCGTACTTTTAATTTTAACCAAAAACAACATATATTATAGATATATATTTTAATGATAGATGATATGTTGTATGTGCATTAAGGTCCCGTTTGATAGTTTCTGTCCGGTAAAGTGTTGTCTGGGAAAGTTTTCTCACTGGGAAAGAAACCATGCTGTTTGATTGTACATCTGATTGACTCTGCTGAATGATGAAAAAAAGTAATAATTCAATAAAAAATAAATTTAAAAAAATTTATTTCAAAAAATTAATAATCCAATAAAGAAAGAAAGAGGCGGGGTTTGGTGTATAATTGTCTTTCCAGCCCATTCAGCCAGAAAGATATGATTTTGGGAGTTTCTGGGAAAGACATATCTTACCGGGAAAGACCCCTTCTTTTGTGCAAATCAAACAGTCTTTCCGGTCCATTCAGCCAGAAAGATCTGTTTGGACCTGGAAAGATGCGTATCAAACGGGGCCTAAGTGTTCTTTTTTTTAATATGTCATGTATTGCATACTATTCGTATTAAGGTATGTTTTCGAAAAAATCTAATCACCAAAACAGAAATATTCTTCGGAAAAAAAACTCTTCATCGCACCCACATTCAATGTCCACTGCTTAATTGAAACTCATCATTGCCCGTTGAAAAAACTAATTGCCGAAACAAACTTATTATGTGTTCATGTACATTTGTAAAGAATCTCAACTTTTTCATTTTAATTCTTCCTGATTTCCTTTCTGCTACTATGAGTCTTATTGATAATTGTTTAGATATCATAAACAATTTGTGCAAAAAAATTAATGGCATGTATAACTAAATTCTGAAAAACTATTCGAACCCGTCGCTTGTCACGGGTAAACGGCTAGTGTATATATATATATATATATATATATATATATATATATATATATATATATATATAAAGAGAGAGAGAGAGAGAGAGATAGAGAGAGAGAGCTAGGTTCAGGTATTTAAAGTAATTATTGTGTAATTGTATGCATAAATATGGGCCAATCAAAATTAAATAATTAAATAAATAAATAAGGGTAATTTAGTAATTTGTTTAATAACTTCCAAAAATAATCTCTATAATCATGGTATTGACTTTTATTAAATCTTGTTCCCCTCTTTATATAAAAACCGATTTCTGAAAACCCTAAATTGAGCAACAGGAGCGTCGGTGAGAGTTACTTGTTTGGCCGTGCACAAGAACGGATATGAACCTGCACCGTTTTCATTCTCGAGTTGTCTGGCAGATGTGAAGGGTTACTTCTTGGCCAAAATATCATCGTCCGAGCTTCTAAAAAATGATCTCTGGGAGGTAACTGAGTGCAAGTCTTTCCTTGAGAACTCACCATGGACATGCTGCAAAGTTCCTGAAGACACAAATGGAGGAATCACGGGTGCTCATCTTAATTGATTTCTTTAATTTTTTGTGATCACACGAAGATGCGACTTGTAAGATTTAATATTTGATGTTGCTTTTTTTTAATTGAATTTGTCCTTTAAACATGAAACAATATATATTTGTGTTCAAAGTTTAAGTATCTAAGATCATTTTTTCACACCACAAAATTGATTTTGTTATAATTTGTAATAATATTATTTATTTTGTTATAATTTTGTGATAAATTATTTATAAAGGTATTGTCATAAAAAAGATGGAATACATAATTAATTGTTAAAAGCAAAGTGAGTGTTACAAGCCCTACAAACGTTTGCAGGTATGTACACCCAGATATAATCTTGAAGTTTAATATGCTTGCTTGCTGTAATTTGTTTTAACTCTGTGTACGTGTACCTATTATTTGAGATATATGCTTATGTATATTTAGATTCTGCCCACCAACTGTTCGCTGAAATGCTTGAATGAAACAGTTCCTCTATTTCCATCCAAACAAAAAGACAAACAGTTCCTCTAATTCTGTTGGCATTTGTTCACGAATTGTATGAAATCACGAATCCAATTCTGTTGGAATGGAATCATGAATTCTAATTCTGTTGGAATGGAATCACAAATCCATTTCTCTTTAATGGTTTTTGCGTGACTTTATTTTGGTTTGCTTGAATTTTATGCTTGAATTTTATCTTATATTGTTGGTTAATAATGATCAAGTGTTGAATACCATTATTTTTTGTAGGTACGAAACGAGAGATATCAAAGCAAAACATGGTACATATGAAACTTATAACATTCTACTGGAATGAAATCTAGAATTCTGATTCTGTGAGAATAGAATCTTGAAGATGAACATTGTATGGGATGAAGATGAACAATGACCACCAATCTTCCAAAAAAAATGGAATATTCTACCAGAATAATATACAATATAATGAAAATATATATATATATATATATATATATATATATATATATATATATATGTAATAGTATATTCTGGTAGAATGATTCATATATTGTGTTTTTTGTGTTATTAATAAGTGTAACATTCGCATAGAATAATATATAATTTTTTTTTCTTTTCTAAGAATGTAATGAAATTTTTTTTAACTTGTATCCAAAATTTTGTTACTATTCTTCAAGAAGTTCATTAAATCAAAATATATATTATGTCAGAATGTGTAATTCTTGTATGGTTCAATCATATTTGCTATTTTTCAATATATTGATAAACATATTCCGTCAGAATTTTCGAATTAGGAGAATTATCATCCATACAATCAGATTTTTAAAATTAATAGAATCTATTTTCCTTAAAATATGTAATTTTCCTTTTTTAAATTTATGTTAATTGACTAAAATACCCTTAGAATGAAATTAGTTGGTATTTTTTAATTATATTTAATTTAATAATATGTATTATTCACTTTCCAAAATTAAGTAAAATGATTGGCCCACATTATGCATACAATAACACAATACTTAGTTTGAATAGAATAACCTAAGCCTATATATATATAGATATATAGATATATATAGTATATATATATATATATATATATATATATCTCTATATATATATATATATATATATATATATATATTATATATATATATATATATAGAGAGAGAGAGAGAGAGAGAGTAAATTACACGAATGATCCATATGGTTTAGGGTAATTTGCACGTTTGGTCCCTAACTTATTTTTTTAACTCGGAAGGTCCTTACTGTTTGTTTTTGTTACGCGCTTGGTCCCTGCCTTACTTAAAAAGACTATTTTGCCATTGATTTTTTTAATTTATTTAAATACATACACCCCCAACCCCACTCCCCACCTTACCTTACCTACGCCATAATTTTTTCTCTATTTAAATAATAGTTTTTTTAGGTAAGATAGGGACCAAGCGCGTAACAAAAATAAACAGTAGGGACCAAGCGCGTAACAAAAACAAACAATAGGGACCTTCCGAGTTAAAAAATAAGTTAGGGACCAAATGTGCAAATTATCCTAAACCATAGGGACCATTCGTGTAATTTACTTATATATATATATATATATATATATATATATATATATATATATATATATCATTACCTATATGTTAGAGAATTGTGTTTATGTCCACGTCCATAAGCTACTTCATCCTCCAATAAAAATGTTGTAGGCGGCAAATTTGAACGTATATTGTAGTCAGCAGCTTGGCTATCTGTTCACCGCAACCAATTGGAACTTTGTCGCCGCCATAGGAGACTTCACGGTTGGTTTTGCTCCTAGCTTTGCCACTAGCTGCTTCTAGCTTTACCGTTGTCATGCTCGGTGGCCGAGTCACTCTTGCAGACATCTCTCCACGTGTATCTCTATATTCTACAAAAACTCGGAATTAGAGCTTCATATTAACGTCAGTGTCTTCTATCTTCCTCTTTCCCGCTCTAGAATACATGTACAAGCATCAGCTTGAGACTTACCGATGCTTTAATTGCAACCATCGGCTTATCATGTTACGCCTTATGCTTGCATCTTATGCCTTTTG